AGGATCGAGACTGATTAATGAGATTGGTGATGCCGAAACCCTTGCAACAGGGTGTCCTACATCACTATCACGCTAGTTTAGAAGGTGGACAGCAAGGAATTGGTCGGACCTACCAACGGATCCGAGAATATTTCTACTGGAGGGGACTATTCAAGGGTGTGCAACGCTATGTCGGTGAATGTGTGGATTGTGAGACAGACACGGGCAGACCCACAATCGAAGGGGAGTCTCCTGAGAATGTCCAAGCGACATACCCGTTCCAAATCATAGCCATGGATCACATCCCCTCGCTTCCCAAGTCATTCAAAGAAAACACTGAGTTGTTGATCTGGGTGGATCTGTTTACCGGATACGTGATAGCCAAAGCTAGCGCGTCCAGAACTGCACAAAACATCGCCGAATCGTATGAGAAGTGCGTTTTTCGAAGATTTGGAGCTAGTGAGATGATTCGGCACGATCGGGAGCCAGGCTTTATGTCTGATTTCTTTCGAGCATTCAACCGGATCCTGGGGCAGAGACAGCGGGCGACTATGGCATATCGTCCCCAGGCCAATGGATCGGCCAAACGCATGGTACAGACGATCACGAGGGCGCTCAAGATGTATGTTCAAGATTTGGATCAGAGGGATTGGGATGAGCGCGCAGAACGATTCACCTTCGCGATGAGCACCGCCCAAGACTGTATCCGGGGTGACACCCCATTTTACTTAATACATGGGTGGGATCCTAAATCCACACTAGAAGCGGCCATTCCGGTATGTAGCACCAAGAAGAGGAACCGAGATCCAAGACGATGGCGATACCAAGTCCAGAAATACTACCGGCAAGCCAGATTCCAAGTGAGCGAACGGTTACGAAGTGCGATACCGGATCGACACACCGAAGACGCTCGTCCTCATCAAATTCAAGTTGGATCGCAGGTTTGGCTGTATTTGGATCGGGTGAAGGAAGGATACGCTCGTAAACTGGCCCATTTATGGCACGGACCGTTCCGAGTGAGTGAGAAGATAGAGGAACACGCTGTGAAGTTGAAAACGGAAGGTACCGAATATCGCTTGTTCCCTGTGGTACACGTATCCAAGCTGAAGCTGGTCAAGAAATATCCGGACCGGCCACAAATCCGTCTTTCGGTGGATGAATTCAACCGGGTGGATTTCGACGAAGTCCTCCTACCGGAAGATAGCTGGAATGTGGATCTCGAAGCCGACGAGTTCGAAGTCGAGACGATCACCGACATGAGGTCAGGGAAGCGAACTAGATACGGACGAATTTACCGCGGATTTCTGGTGTATAGGCGTGGATATGACGAACCCAGTTGGGTAGACGAGGCAGATCTGAGCTGTGGAGCATTACTCAATGATTTCCTACGGGATCGTACGAATCGGAACAGATTCGGCGTGATGCAGTCTCATGAGGAGGAATCAGGGGAGGAACCATGGGTGTGAGTTGGTCATATCAATGGAGGATGAAGAAGGACCCACAGGAAGGGTGTGGGTCAGGGGGGGGGGCACTGATGTGAGCTGGTCATATTGGAAAGAAAGAATAGAAGAATCCACAGGAGGGGTGTAAATCAGGGGGAAGAAGTGAATGTTTATGCATAGAGAGTGACGTTTTACGTGCAAAGAGTCCCGAACCAAACACGAGTTTTATAAGGGTCGTAAGAAGCGGATCCGGTCCAAATCCAAGCACGGATCCAACCCGGATCCAGAAATTGGAGCGGATCCAGGTGTATGTTGGGAGGGTGGATCTAGCCCAGATCCATGCGTGCGCTATAAGGGTGGATCCCGCCCATATCCAGGCGTACGCTGAAAGGGTGGATCCAGCCCAGGTCCAGGCGTACACTGAAAGGGTGAATCCAGCCCGGATCCTGGTATACGTTGGAAGACTCTGACATAGCTCCTCAATCAACAAGAGAATATTAAAGACATATTCAAGTAACGAAGAGTGGATTAGAATAGCTTATGCAAAAAGGCTAGCCAGCGTTTAAGCATCCGTGGGGCTGCTTACCTGGCGGTAGAGATTAAGATCAAACACCAAGCTTTTAGTCAGGGTGTGACTAATTCGCAGCTCGTTAAAATTCGTAGTTCGTTAGAACTGTCGCCGAGGGTGCTGCGCCAGGATTTTCTTATTCGCAGTTCGCTAGAACTGTCGTTGAGGGTGCTGCGCCAGGATTTTTTTGTCATCTTACGACCTTCGCGCACCCGTCGCGTAACATTTATGCACGTTTTGGCACGGCTCAGCCCAAGGTTGTATCAACAATGGTCATGGCTGTGACATGCAAATGGTCGCTCTTCTGCTCCGTGCCGCATTAAGAGGGCGGAGATTGTGACATGTGCCGCACACAGAAAACGTTGTGTGCTGCATCTTAATAGAGTGGTTTAGCAGAAAGCTACGAACGTGTGACGCCCAGTTTTTTTTGTGAGGAATGCCAGAGACGAGCGTCACACGTTTGTTCAAGTGATGTAGTTACGACTGATAAGCTTTCTACAAGTCGTATACAAATGTATATATATGCACTTTAACATCCGAATACTGTAAACCACAAGTTGGTGGAGCACACGGTTCCAGTGCTCTTCCAGTTTACATCTTGCATCACAGCAAGATCCCCGTACCGTCCAGGGTACGCGAGCCGGCGCAGCAACACACAGAGCCCCTCGACTTCACCAACGCGAAGGCGGCTCGGTAGCTTGTAGTCTTCCTCAAGCCGCAGCGCCTTGTGCAGCCGAATTACGTCACGCTTCCAGAATCGGAAATTAAAACGACAGTCTCCGTCGCTTAATGCGTTGAAATTGAAGTTGCCCTTCAGTGTGAGGACTGGTCGTGGAATAGGAGATCTGGCGAAGAGCACAGCGGCGTCCTCGACGAGGACGAGGTCCAGAGCGGACGCTGCGAGGACTAAGCTCTCCTCGAGCATCTTGACTGGCTTGTGTGCTTTGCAAATGTAGTATACACCAAGGACGGATAAGAGCTCGCGTTCGCTCTGCAAAATGCTTCGCTGGCAAACCAACGTGTGCGGCAGTGTGATTAGGGCTGTGTGATTGGCGCTAGTCTACAACTCGCACAAGTTCCTGCTGCTAAACCACTTTTATAACTACGGTGCACTGCTTGAGGAGCTCCGTAAGGCGCAGGGAGGTCACGCTCGCGCGCTCACGACCGCTATGTCCGTGACACACTTGACCGCGCTTGCAAGGAGTACGGAAACGCACGAGCCGCTGAAACACCAGTGAAGCGGAATTTGCACAAGCGACGAAGAGTCTGGAACAAAGTCTGCAGAATCTCGACGTGTCGGGGGCTAATGGCTACAATCTACCCGTAATTGTGGGGTCTCTAGTGGAATTACATGCAAATATTGGCTACTACCAGTGCTATTTGTTCCTAGACGTCCACAAGGACGGCGATAAGAGCACGCAGGCGTTTGACGTTGCGAAACTGGACGTCCGGGTAGACTTCCCTCGCGTAGAGCTCACATATAGGCTTGGAAAGAGTGCAGAAGGTAGTGCAGTGATGGAGAAGGCAGCAGAAGTTGTGTGGTCGATGGAGATCGAACGGAACGCGTACATCTCGCAATACGTCGTGGAAGACAAGGAGGATTATTGGTACCTGCGGCTTCCGACTCGACCAAGTGACAAGCAACCACTGGCTGGGTTTTCGTCGCTCACGCAGGTTTCTGCTGTTGAGCTTCGGCCAGAGCGCTACGAGTTGATGGGCTGTCGAGGCTGCAACGCTATGTTCCTTGGAGGAAAAGAAGGAAGACCTGGGATGGAGAAGGTGTTGCCATTACCGTCGGCGAACTATATGGACATGTTTGATTTTGGTGCGCTGGGATCAGCGCCTTTGAACATATCCCACGCGATGGCATCCGCGTGCAGCGACGGTGTGTGCTAGTTGTGAATCATATGTGTTGTTGCATGGTAGCGATCTTTTGGCGGATGCGACGGTGGTGAATCATGAGGACGAAGCGGCGGTGGCCCCAGGAGATAACGCGAAGGAGGAGCGCGAATGACTGCCTTTGACTCGTGCAGCATGCTTGACCCGCGTTGGATTGTGCAGTGTGGAGCCGTCAGAGACTATTCATTGCATAAGCATTTGATCGTCTCGTCGGCACTTGAAAGCTGCTGCTGGAGCTGCAGATGAGGAGGAAGAAGAGAATATTTTCGACAAGTATACAATCGACAGCATCGTGAGCGCCAAGTTGCTAGAGATGGCGGACTCGGATGGTGTATTCAGGTTCATCTTGACGTCATCAAGCGACAAACACGATCACAACTTGGCTCCTTCTACTGCTGATAGTTCATCGCCAGTACTGCACCTGGTCATGATTCACTCACGGACAAGCTAACAGTAAATCATGGAATCCTTGAACCGCTTTATCGGATCATTCAAAACAGTGAGTCAAATGTTAGCTCGTCACCAACCTCAATAGCTTTCGTAGCAAACATACCGCGGCGTTCTTTGCCGCTCACGTTCCATTTTTCTATCCTGCAGTTTGGAGAACAGCTATAATGCACAAATCACCGCTTGCGACCACGCCTCGCGACGTCGATAACTTCATCGCCAGCGAGCTGCATCATGAACCAGCGGTCTTCTGACGCATACAGCTGAAAACATGTAAGCGCGTGGAAATCTACCGAATAGATATGGAGGCGTGATATCACTTACCAGTACCAAATACACAACGGGGAACCGTCGATATTCACGTCGAATCCAACCATCTACCAGCCATGTTGCAGTATATACAAAAAGCAAATCACCTAACGGCGAATTAATTGGTGCTTTTCGCAAACATCAAGCACGCGAGAAGTCCTGTCCCTATGTGTGCCAGTAATGCGCTCTCCGGGATCACTATCGCCGCATATTCAACCTCTTCCAAGCCTTTGACAAGCCGACGTGTGAGCAAGTATCGAGCGGCAAAACCGGGGCGAGCGTCGACAATGTAGAGCAGCAGCATGTTACTTGCTACCAATCTAGAGCAACCGAGAGAGCAAGTAATGCACAACTAGATGAGTGCTGGTTGCATGCATTGCACGTTAGGCGCGAGTGTGCGCAAAATTAGAGCGACAAGATCATTGTCCAGAATACCACGTAACAATGTCAGCTCCACCCTCGACGCGGGACAAGTGATGTAAGCACGTAAGGCGCCTCGTCGCCCTAGCAATGGCACCGTTTGAATTCAACATCCTCACATACTCCACCGCGGTTAAATGCCAAACACGAGAGAAGCCTCGTCCTTCTTTGCGACACAACTTCAACCCTTACTCTCAGACTATGATCGTCACGTCTCCAGCAAAAAGTGAGGGTTAGAATCCGTTTTCAAGCACCACACCACGTTCTAAGCAGTTCTCACTTTCCAATTTTACGTCCGACAGACAGAGCACCACACCAAGCATTCGATCGATGCCGCCCAAGAAACGAGACAAAGAAATTAATCTATCGGGGAAGATGAATATACCAGAAGCCATCACAATGCCAGTGGTCGCCGCTACGCCGAAAATCCCGGAAAGGCTGATAAAAGTCTCTCGACAGCGCGTAGGTACTCCATGACCGGCAGGGTAACGGCAAAACTAATATGCGTGTTTGAGTTCTTGCTCACAGACGTTCGATATTAACACAGAGCCTAAGTACGTATCTCCTCTGAAAAACTTCGCAAGACGATGAGTGAGCATTCTCACCAACTTATCGATACGATTGATGGTAAGCGCTATATAGTTTTAGTACTATCTTACGCTATTCATATGATCAAATTATTTGCGGATGCAATAGGTTTGCGCGGGTTCATCTTGAAGAATGACATGACGAGCCCAGAGATACGATCATCGACTCGCATCAGAGCGCGTCTGCTGTGAACATCCGCGGAGACAGTAAGAGGCCTGCACTTCTTGCGACTATACCTGGGTGAGGCTCAGGCACCAGAGCCACTGAAAGAGCAACAAAAGGTATAGCGTGTTGTTGTGGTGCATCTTTCCACAGCCATTACTACCCACAGTTCTACATATGACAGGAGTACCAAGAAGCCCAAAGCCAAGACCCATTCAATGCAAACCAATTCTTTATCACAATGTCGCTCTACGAAATCGACGTGGGGAGCCCACGCTTGCCGCAACCGGGGAACGTAATTACATTCACGCCGACGAAGCTACGTCTCTACAGGAACTGTTGCCAGGTCGACTCCAAGCTCCAGAATATGTGACGGGGTCACACAGCACCTTGCGCTAGAGGAAGTTATCTTCCGAGAGTATACAAACTCTCAGTGAACGGCAGTTCACAGGTCCCCTCTTTATTTAAAAGAGGGCGTTGTGACCTAAATAAGGTAGATTGTAAACTGAGTATATTTATAGGTAGGTTAAGTTTGGCTTTAATACAAACTATAAGTCACCTATAGAAATGCAATGTCGTTGACCAATGGTTGGCTTTGAACGACCTTGGTACTTTGTACCAAATATCCCGGAGTATGACGTGTCATACGCCTGAAGTGTGAAGTGTCACACGCCATGTAACCAGGGTACACTTAGGGCTACGTACCCCGTTACATCCTTCCCCACTTAGGTTCGGTTTACCGACCAATCAGAATGAAGAGGTGTTCGTCACAAACTCTCATTCTCAAAGTCGAAAACCATCGACTTGGCCGCGCGAGCGCGGCGGAGGCTCACTTCACAGTTAGAGCCTCGAGCAGCAACCAGTGTGCTCTTCATCTAGGTCTCCAATTCGACCGTTACCATGCCTTGTGGCACAGCAAAGAGTGATGCTAAGACACGCTCCAAGGCTGCGGCCGGTAAGGCGCAAGCCAAGAGCACTAAGCCTCACGGCAAAGGCTTGGCACTCAAGGAGGCTACTCAGGTGGCCACCGAGACGATCGGTTCCTTGGGTGACGCGGCTGTGGGAAAGCGAGCAAGCAAGCGCCGCAGTCCGTCGCCCTCGGCCTCAGACAATCGTCCGAACCCTCGGTTCGTGGAACGTGAGTTCAACTCTGGCAGTGAGGACGAAGCCGAGTCCGAGAGCACGCACGATGCTCCTGCGGGCTCTGTGGGAAGGCACAGCCCAGTGCCCAGTGAGCACAAGGATGACAGCGTGCAGTCGCTCGCTAGTGGTCAAGGTGATCACAGTCCCAGAACGTCTGTGCGCTCTGAGAGTCCGGCCGTCAAGGCTAAGGGCACTCCCAAAGCCGGTGGCGATGAGGAAAAGAATCCTCACAAACGTCTTTCGCTTGCCGAGGGTCTTGCACGTGCAAAGGCCTCTAAAGCCGAAGGCGCCAAGCCCTCAAAGAAGCGTATAGCCTCTAAGTCTCCACTCCGCGAGGAGAAGGAGACTCGACACTCCTATCAGAGTATCTTCGACTCCTCGGATGAAGAGGAGGAGAAGGAGGAAGAAGAAGAGGAGGAGGGTGCTATCTCTGAGCCCCGGGAGGTCTCGAATGACCTCGACCAGCAGCAGGAGGAATTCCAAGCTGCTCAGTGTGTGCGTGGGGGTTCGGTGGTGGCACCCGTCAGCCAGGGAGCTTCCATCAACTCAAGAGGGTATTGGCCTCCCGAGGAGAGCTCTGGGGTGACCTCTTCTTAGAGCTTCTCGTCGCTCCTCGTGGCCTTGTGGGCGGCCACACTTCTAGGGGCATCTACGAAAGTGCCCTTGTTCAGAAAAAAAAACAGTTGTTCGTTGACAACTTGGAGGCTGCTCGGTGTGTGCTTCTCGCGCCACACCGCATCCCTCTTAAGGACTTCACGACTTGTCGTAAGAAGCCCGAGACCGGGGGTGGTCTCTATCCTCTTTGGGGATACCCCTGGGTTATGTCCGAGAACTGTCCCACGTGGAGTTCTTGTGAGGACATGTTCTAGGCATGGGTGGAGTCTCTTAAGTACTCACCCACGGAGTTACGGGAACTCCATGAAGATCAGCTGCTGTCCTGCATCCTGGACCAGCGTGATCTTCGTGTGCGGTTTGCCCACTTGATCAGCAAGCGCATGCTGCCAAGGGACATCCTGAAGCGCGCGACTTCCAGCGCTCACGATGAGCGTGGGTACGGAGTGTCTTCAACGTCCGTACCCCGTTCGGGCAAGAAGTCCCGGACTACTTATGAAAATTGCCGCCGCTTTTGTTCCCAGATTGCGACAGCCTTCGGGCAGTCAATCAGGAGCCGTCCAATCGGCTCCTACGAGTTCTCGGAGTGGGCATAACCCCTCCACTTCACGAGGAGCTGTCGCTTACCGCGACGCCGTTGCTCCTGGAGGATCCGCTCCACGTGGAAGTAGACCTCTCCATTCCGGTAAAGCAGGGGCGGAGGTGCCCTCGTACGAGTACGAGTACTCGGCGCCTCCCGAAAGCCACTCTCGTTCGAGTGCTCCGACTGCGGGTCCGACACAGGGTCCTGAGGTTGATTGCCTCCATCAACGTGTCCTCGTGCTTGAGATTGCACTTGGCCTTGGGACTGGCGGTGATGCTGCCGCCCAGGCCGGGAATCAGGGCGAGCTCGCTCGTCTTGCGGGCCGCCCGGACCTGTTGGAGCGAGAGGTCGCGAGCCTGCACCTGCGGGTGGATCGCCGGGCCTCTTCGTCCGATCTGGACGAGGTCTTTCGCATGATCCGACGGATCGAGGCTCTGCTGCCACGCCCGGGGCCGCCTCCGGCGCACGCTTAGTCGTAAGCGTATGGTGCGTACCCGACGTACTCGACGTATGGCTCCGGGGTCCGTTCGTACGGGGCCCCTCCGGCGTACGGTCTTGACCGCAGCCTTGCCGTCCCGACCGAGACTTGGGTGCCTGCTCCGACGCCCTCGTCGACGACTGTGAACGACCCTCGCTTCGAGGAGCTGGGTCAAGGGGGGCCTGCGAGTCAGTAACCCCCTGCGGGTCAAAGTACCGCTTAAGACGTCCAACATAGAACGTCGGGTGTGTCGTCATTGACTTTGGCAGGTCGACGGTGTACGACGCACCATGTCTGGCCAGGACCGCAAATGGTCCGACGTAGCGGTGCTTCAGTTTGCTGCTGCCGACAGAGCTGACAGTGCCAAGAGGTAGGTTCCTCGTGTCTAGCAACACTAAGTCCCCTACCTTAAATATACTTAAGTTTCCTTTTCCATGTCTGTCTGAGTACTCCTTTTGTTTATCTTGGGCCGCTGCCATTGCATCGCGGACCCTGCTGACAACGCTCAGCTTGGTATCCATAAGGGATTCCACCTGTTTCCGCAGCGAAACTGGTCTCACATCCGAGACCTGGGAGGAAAGGGCTTTCTGAGCCTCTCCCCCACTTAGAATAGAGGAGGCTGTGGCTCCTCGAAGAGTGAGAGGCACTCTGGGGTGACGGAAGCCGTTCAAGTAGAACGGCGTGAAGCCCGTGGACGCGTGCACCGCGTTGTTGAGCGCAAACTCAACAACTGGAAGCTGCGTCGACCACGTACGTGGTGCTGCCGCGCACACACTGCGCAGAGTGTCCTCGAGCACTCGATTGACGCGCTCTGTCTGGCCGTCTGTCTGCGGATGGTCTGCAGTGGACATCTGCAGACGAGCTCCCAGTAAAGGGAACAGCGTTTTCCAAAACGCAGCAGTGAACCGCGGGTCTCGGTCCGAGACAATCGTCTCCGGGAGACCGTGATAGCGGAACACGCCATCAACGAACAAGCTTGCGGTTTGTTCGCCCGTAACAGTGACGGGGACCGGAGCAAGATGGTACAACCGACACACGAACACCAAAATTCCGGTGTTGCCGTGTCCGTCGGCGGGAAGCCCAAAGATGAAGTCAAGCCTCATCGACTTCCAACAGTCAGCCGGTACGGGCAGGCTCTGTAGTTGAGCCGAAGAGTGCCCTGCGGGTTTGAACCGCTGACATGTTTCGCATGTCTTAACGTACCGGGCGACCCACTTGTATATGTGGGTCCAACGGAAGGACTGAGAGACCGACAGAAAGGTCTTCTCGCGGCCCAAGTGGCCGCTGGAGGGCGCGTCATGCGCCTTCGCGAGGATATCGAGCTTCAGATCCTCGTCGTTGGGTACGACCACCCGTGGAGGATCCGCGGGCTCCACCCGGTAATAGAGGAGGCCCTCCTTCTACTCATATTGGTGGAGCCGTGAGCGCTGTCGCGACGAGAGCCAGTCGGACTTCGCGCTCGTTCCTGCCATAAGGAACCTGACGATAGGCGCGACAGCCTCATCGTCCCGATACGCCATGCGTATCCGATCGTATAGATCCGTTGTCACCCGCGTGATGTGGGCCAACTCATAGTCAGGACGCCGAGAGAGGGCGTCCGCAAGCACGTTGAGCTTGCCCGGCTTGTATTCGACGCGGAAGTTGTATTCCGCGAAGAAGGACAGCCACCTCGCCATCCTTTGGGAGAGGTGAGGCGAGTTAGTCGTCATCCTCAAGGATGCGTGGTCTGTGTAGATCACGAAGGGCCGTAAGCCCAGAAGGTGAACCTGAAACTTCACAAGGGCATACTTAATTGCCAGGAGCTCCTTGTCGTGGACAGAGTAGTTCCGTTCGGCGGCTTTGAGCTGCCTGGACTGGACCGAGATGACTCGTTTATGTCCAGCCGTGTCGGCCTGCAGCAGCGCACACCCGATGGCGTAGTCGGAGGCATCGCAGACGACGCTAAACGGCTTCGTCTCGTCCAGCAGGGCCAGGACAGGGGCCTCTTGGAGACTGGCCTTGATGCTGTCAAAGACATCCTGGTGCTCTTGCCCCCAGCGCCAGTCGACGTCCTTCTGAAGGAGGCCCGACAAAGTCTTAGCGAAGCGCACGTTCCCTGCGCTGTACTTGTGAAGGTAGTTGGTCAAGCCCAACCACTTTCGAAGACCCCTCTACGATCGAGGCGTTGACCATGCTGCTATGGCCTTGACCTTGTCTGGGCAGCCCGAACGCCCTCGTTGGTTACGAAACAACCGAGAACCTTAATCTCTGGTGACGCGAAAACGCACTTGTCGATGTTGGTGTAGAGCTTATTTGCTCGTATTACGTCCAATACTCGACGGAGGTGCCCCCGATGCACCTCCATGGCCGTCTTGCCTCCCTCGGCACGGCTATGGACGACAATGTCGTTGAAGTACGTATGTACGAAGGTACGCAAAGGGCGGAACAATTGCGTCACCAGGCGATTGAACGTCTCCGGGGCGTTAGACAAGCCCTGCGGCATGACGAGCCACTCCCAACGCATGCCGCTTGGAGTGCTTACCGCGGTGAGCGGGATGTCACTCTCGCGCATCAGAAT